CAGGCCGCTCAAGTGCACGAGCGCCGGCCGTCTGCGGGACCGTCCTCGCGCAGGCGCAGTCCAGACGCGCCGGACACGCCGACCCAGCGTGCACCGGCGCGAAGAAGGCAGTCGGGAGGGCGATCGCGCGCAGGCCACAACGCAGGCTCTGGTGGAGCTGCTAGGGGCAAGCAGAGGGCGATGGTCCAAGGTGAGCCAGAAAGGCATAGCTCGCCGGAGGTGTCCCTTTCCCGGAAGAGACGGCGTAGCTCGATGGGCGTTGAATCGAGCTCTAAACGTCCGACTCCCAAACGTTCAGTACCACCAGGAGAGCCAGGGTCTCCCTCTGCTGTCGGGACTTCGCTGGTTCCGGAACATATTGGATCATCGTCTGCCCCTCTCCCGACTAGTCTGGAGAGTACGCCCCCTACCCAACCTGTTGACTCCGAGGCGGCCGCTGTGCGATCAACCTCGTTTCCACCAGCGACGGCGTCCTCAGACATGGACGCACCTGGGTCTCCGGAAAGCGTCACGGAACAGAATCTATAGTACCCGCTGTATATACATGGTTAGTCCGCATCATGTACTTGAGACGGATTGACATTGAGTCTATCTAGCAACATGATTGCTCCGGCGTGGTTTCCAAGAGTATGGTACATCAAGCACTGCAGCATCCTCATCCGAGTTACATGTCAAAGACCTGTCGTCCCTCCAGGCCGTCCGCATTGCTGCTCTCCATTGACTGTGGCCAAGTAAATGACGACCGAGAGTCACGTCTCGAGCTCCTTTCATGACGCCGGGGCGGTCGCTTTGCCAAGCGTCATACCCACCTCGACATCCATTTCGATCAGCTGTGCGCTCACGCCCTTCAAGTCTTCATCGAATCGGATCCGCCCACGTTCGAAGGCGATGATGATGCTGCTCCCACCAAACTCAAAAAAGCCCACCTCTTCGCCCTTCTCGATCGTAACCTTCCCGGCGTTGTTGTGCGCAGAGCCCGGCAAGACGCAGGTGATCTTGTCCGAGAGCTTGACGGTCCCGACCTCGAGCGCGCCGATGGCGACGAAGAGGACGTCGCCAAACTCGCTGGTCGAGAGGCAGAACGCGGATCGTGCGTTCGCGGCGAGGACGTCGATGTCGGACCGGATGGCGACGGGGTCAACCTAATCGCAGAGTCAATCTTTGTTCCACACGTGCAGTGGGAGGGCGCGGCGGCAGGGGCTGTGCTTACGGAATAGTAGTCGCCATCGAGCTCCTTCCACCACCTGACGACGCCACGCACGGGCGAGTGATAGCGGTGGTAGTCTTGTGGGCTCAGCCGGAACGAGGCGACGGCGCCGTTCGCCCACGGCCGTGCGGCGACCTTGTCCGAGATGAGCTGCGCTATGGAAAAGTCGCGGCCCTGTGCGGCGGAACTGTCAGGCTCGAGGCACGCAGTTCAGGGGAACTGGAAATTTACTTTGATCCACAGTTTGTGTGTCTCCTCGACGGAGTCGTAGACGACAACCCGAGAATCTGCGACCATCGTTGCCACTGACGGGTCTTCGGGAGAGGCGACTGGACGTGCATTTGGCTTACTGCAAATGTATGCTTAGGATATAATTGGGATAGGCTGTTCAGAGGACGATCACGCACTGGTGGCGAATGAAGAATTCTTGGAAACTCTACGAGCTCACGCTGAGCTGGTCTGCGAGAAGGGCCAATATGAGATGCTTACAGAGTAAGCATTGATGTCCGAAGGCTCAAATTCGTCCATGTCGATTTGGTAAAACTCAACGAACGACTTTATCTGCTCCTTCGAGCGGGGATCTGACTGCGGGTATCTTGGTGTTAGACAGCGTGCGAAGACTGAAGCATTGTGCCTACTTCTTTTTTCTGGGAGTGGTCTGTCTTCTCATGTATCCAGAATCGAAAGAGGCTCGTTCGGTCCACCCATTCTATAAACGGGTTGAAGAGCACCGCCATTCGGAGTTTCTTGGCTAGCGGCTGGCGTTCACGTACAAACTCGCCCGTCTTCCGGTTCTTCGTGAGCCACCCGACTTCACGGTTTTGAATCTTGTGCTGAAGTGAGATCCCGTGTAGTATTGTTCAAACCTAAGGCTACACACCAGTTTAGCGGTCTGCAGACCGTAGTCAGCTAATGAATGCGCGTATTGCATGTTTGCGGTCTTCAAGTGCAAGATTGCGGGAAGGGAGAAGAGGTGCAAATGAGCTTCTTCTCAACGGTTCAAATACTGGGCCCTGTGTTCACACGTTGCCACTACACCACACTCTGTGACGCAATGCGCTGTGCAGGCTGTTTGCGTTTATTAGGATCAAAAGCCTCTGCCTGCCTTTTCGGGAAGAGCCTAGTCTGACGTACAGCTACGGTATAGCGCATATGTACTCAAGTTGTGTATAGACTCGCTACGCTTGTTTTCAAGATACATACGACCAACGGACTGTTTGCTACTGAAGGGCCACTCGCCGTTTGCCAGCCAACTAGGAGACAGCTACTTGCCGTCTACAAAATCGGTGCTGTACATGATGTCCTTCCACTCGTCGAGCTGCTTGAGCTTCTCGTCGCAAACCCCCTTGATTGTGTCTAATATGTCACTGCCGAGGCCGAGGACTAGAGGTGTAGGTCGCCCATCGGCGATGCCCTCGCCACGAATAACGTCGAGCATGACCTCGACGCCTTTCTTCGGGTCTCCCGGCTGCTTCCCGTTAACAGCTGCACCCGCATCAGCCAGCATATACCATTGGGAGCAACGATGACACTTACCCGCGAGGCTTCCAACGTACCGTTCGTTGATGGGCCGATAGTCCTTGATGCGGTACTTGCCGTCCTCCCTGTGACCATCGGCAAGGAAGCTGGTGCGGAAGTAGCCGAGGTCGAAGCAGATGCTGCGCAGGCCGAACGGAGATATCTCCTGGTGAAGAGCCTCTGACAAGCCTGCACCGCTATCTCAGATACATCCTCTCCCTTCAATGACGGTACTTACTGCGGACGGCAAATTTGGTGGAGCAGTACAGGGCAGAGGCGGGGTAAGTCCTAATGAAGAGAGGGTCGAGAAAAGCTCTGCGTGAGAAAGTGCAGACTTACTGCCAGCCGACGATAGACCCAATCCAGACGATCGTCCCGGTCTTGCGGGCCCTCATATAAGGGAGGAAGGCGCGGTTGATGTTGAGTGGAGCGAAGACATTGGTGCTGTTTGTTGTATCAGTATCGGGGGATCCCCCGTGAAACAATGGCTCACTTGAATTGGTTGAGGGTCTCTTCAGGACTAGGTAGGCAGGTCATCAGCACGTTGTAGAGAAACCACCAGAGTACAAACCACTACTCACGTCGTCTCTTCGAGGGTTCCAGATTCGATATAGCCTACACGGCGGGAATTAGCTCTTGCTTACCGGCCGTAGATCACATTTGGCCCCACCTGCGTTGTTGACCACGACATCGACATGGCCGTAGACGTCGACGGCTTTCTTCGCGGCGGCGTGGAGGACATCGAGGGACGCATTGACGTCCAGCTCCATGATCTCGGCGCCTTGCTCCTTCAGGTCTGCGAGCTTGGCGAAAGAGCGGCCGCGAGCGGTGGCAATGACCTTGTCACCACGCTTGAGGGCTGCGAGGGTCAAATCACGACCCATACCGGTGCTGTCTCGATGGTGAGCACGAGTGGAGCGGCTCAGCGACGGCGGACGTACGAGGTGCCAGTGATGAACCAAACGCGCTGCATCGTATAAATTCTGTGTGAGTAGTAGAAGGTTGGTGGGTGGTATGAGTTACTGGTGAACTTGTCTCCGCTGTGCGGGCCTTTATGGTAAATGATATCCAGCGTCACCCCACCACTGGCATGTGCGGTCTCCACTTCAAGTAAAGGAAACGAGGCAGCTAAGCGCCGTTCGGCCAATATTTTGAGCTAAAAGGTGGTCAAGAGTCAGTGCAGTGGAATGGGATTTGATGCCGAATATCAGAGTCGGCCGAGCGATCAAGTTACAAGGAGCAAACTTCCCCGCAGGAAGCAGGATGGGCTGCTCCTATTGCCGTGTGTGGCCGCTAGTGGCATAGGTTTGTCAACGCACTGCAAGTATGTGGGAATCCTGACGCAGCATTGATAACGTCGGCTGTGCGTGGTGACCCAGAAAAGCGCTGGTGGGTTCGCTCGTGTTTATCTTGGAGAGCCAGGTGACTGCACAGTAGGTTCTACATCGTAGCAATAGTGAGAGGTACGATGAAAAGTGTCCATGCGAGCACCTGCCTGCTTGGTTCTTGCGCTTCATGTAGCAAGCGGTGGGCCAGAGAACGCAAAGCGAACGACGAGTGAAAGGAGCCCGCTGGGGCGTCAACTCTGTGATTTTTCATTGTTGGTCCGCCATATCCGTACGTTTGCAAAGAATATCCGAGTCGGCCTCCGTTTTCTACAGCCCTGTCGAGGCTCGCATAAGCGAGATAAGCCAGGGACGTGACTCGGTGCATCCACTACGAGTTCGTCGAACAACTGTCAAAAGTAAGTAGAAAGATTTGTGAGTCGACCTCAGAGTGTCGTGGCCTTGGATAAGCGCATTTATGGACCGGAGTCGCCTACTCAGGGATCCACTGTGGTGTTATACGACCAGTAACGCCATCACGAGGATAATAGTATGGCCGCGGCGCCCATGTTGGGCTGGGAGAATATTGTTTGTACTTGTTAGGATCCAAAGCCTCTGACTTGCCATCTTGAGAGAGATCAAACCCAATCGGGCCAGAGTTCGAGAAGCACATCCAGGACACCTGTCAACGCCTCGATACAATCCCAATTGGGAGTAGTTCGCTCGTTTCAACAGTCCGTGTCGTCTGTGGCCAGCTCCTGTAATTCAATAAATCCCAAATAAATCATGTTATTACTCTGAACGCTTAGCAGGTATTCCTGAGGTGGCATTCGCAATAGAGAGTGCGTTTTTGTACGAGAAATGGTAAATTTCTATCAAACTGGATCTTCCGTCTTTCAAGTGCATTTCCAGCATCTCCCAGTGCAAAATAGAGTCAAAACAAGGGCATATGACCACCGCAGGGGTCGAACCTGCAATCTCCTGATTGCGAATTATGGTCGTAGTCAGACGCGATGCCATTTCGCCAGGCGGCCGTGAAAATACGATTAAATAGGCTTTATTGATCCGTCCACTTTCAAATCTTGGAGAAATAATATTCTCAGTCCTTCAGAAAGCTCTTGTCTACGAGATGATCAACGCGCACTAAAATTATCATAGCTGTAGTGAGAAAGAATTTGAACAGACTAAGAAAGAGTCTGCGAAGATTGAGTCCGAGGATCTGATCTGTCGCAGAGCTGCCAGTTTTAGTAGTCTATTGACTCAGTCTCAAGAGTATCAGGCGCATAGTAATCGTTTCATCAACGCATGTTCCACTCACGTGAATTCAAGTGAACTCTATGGCTGCGTAACGCGGTGGGCTACTAATTTACCGTTCGTGAAATACAAATATGCATCGGGGGCGTCTGTAAACCTTGAGCCAAGAATTTGAATCAAGATTCAAGATATGTAACAGTCCTTTACATGGTAGCAAGACTAGTCCAGGTACTCAATGAAAGTCGAAACCACCGTCAATTTCGTAAACAGGGCAAACAAATTCCTGTACACAGATCACAAAGTTATCTCTCGCACAGCGACCAGTTGTTCCTCGCTCAATTGCTTGGTCTCGCATTATCAAGATAAACCTTTCCTCGATCTTCACCACATGAACGCAGGCGAATTCTATAGGACCGCCACACGGTAGTCGACAGCTTCTTTACCGCTCGTCGAATGCAAACACAAGGCACCGAGAGCGTCCGCAAACCCTCGAGCACTACAAACGGTACAGACGCACGGAAAATGCAAAACGGTACAAATGCCACTTGCCGTTACCTATGATCGGGGAGTACCCTCAGACGAGAAAAAAGTTTATTCTGTTTGAATTAGACCGCAGTGCGTGCCCTGGGCACCAATCACAAACATGTGAAATGTCGTCGACACGCGATGTCCACGCGCAGGGGCTCCGAGTCGGGAGCGTCCCATCAGACCAAAAAAACAAACTGCAGCACCCGGAACGCAGACAAGACAGCGTGCCTCGCGCAGTTAGACAGCCGGTGCCTGCGGACAGCGAGGATCTGCGCGCCCCGAGACCGCCATTGAACGCAATATCACGGTTACGTCAAGGCCGCACGCAAGCAGACAGGTCGGGAGAACGTGCCCGCAAAAAGCGTGGGGTTTGCGGCCTGGCGGGGCTCGCACGGGAGTGCAGCGTGGACGCGCCAAGTGCGCAGAGCCAATGGGGCATCACACGGCGCAGGGTCCCAGCGGCGGCGCGCCCCGCCCTAGTATAGGCCCAAAGCAGGCGGACGCCCGCCTGCGCGCAGATCGCCGCGCGCGCATCATCCCACTGGCGGCCGGCAAGCCCCAAACAGGGCCCCCGCGGCGGCTGCGCGACGCGCGGGGGAAGGCGCGCGGGACGGTTCACACAGCACGCTCGGCAGGTGACAGCCTGCACCACGCAGGCCGGGCCCAGCCCACGGCTCCAAAAAGGCAGGTCGGAACCTCGGCATTAGAGACGGTGGTAAATACATCAGGTACTCAGCTGGGGCGTGTGCCGGACACGGCGAGCGGGGGGCTGACGGGGGGCTACTACGGGGGACACGGATAGACTATGGGGCAGGCAATGTCTGCGTGCGAAACCAGCGCCGCTATCGGGGGCGGCGTGGTGTCATGGGAGGACGCCGCACTGGGTGACGACGACGGGCACGGACGGCCTGCGGAGGATGTCGTCGCAGGTGTATGTTTGGATCCGGCGGACGAGGTCCATGCCCTCGAGGACCTCGCCTGGAGAGACCATGCGCGGCACCGGTCAGCGGAGAAACGCCGGGAGCGCGCGATAAGATAGCGCACCAAAGACGACGTTCTTGCGGTCGCACCACGGTGCGGGGTCGGTGGTGATGAAGAACTGGCCAGGCCCGACGATCAGGACGGGCGGAAGGGGCATGGGCTGGCGGGCGTACCTGCGAGGAGTTGGTGTTCGGGCCCCGGTTCGCCATGGAGAGCAGACCTGGCCGGTCGTGCTTGATGCGGAAGCTCTCGTCTGCGTGTCATCCCAATGCGTGCTAGTTCAATGACCTCATCAGCAAGCTAAAGATGATCACACACCGTCAAAGGTAGGCCCGTATATTGAGGTTCCACCACTGCCATCGCGAGAGGTGATATCACCGCCTTGGATCATGAACTAAGTAGCGGAATCAGTTCGCGTGCCATGGCACGATAGTTCGGGAACGTACCGCCGGCACGATGCGGTGTATCTCGGATCCAGCGTAGCCCACCTCGCGCCCGCCACTCGCGAGCTCGCGAAAGTTTCGGGCGGTCTGGGGACACACATGGTCGAAGAGCCGGAAGACGATGCGGCCTGCGGGCTCGCGGTTGATGGAGATGTTGAACTAGAGCGAAGAGGGCAAGGTGTGAGCTTCGCGGGGAAGGACGAAGCCAGGTCCACGTACGTATACGTCAGGGCTGCCGGCGACGCGTGAGCAGCGATTCGCGGAGAGCTGAGCAGATCCTACTCACGGAGCCATTGAATAGTGTGCGGTACACAGTGGCACGTCGGCGAGCTGGAGATGGGGAAGACGGCAGTGAGAGAGCCATCCTTAAATGTCGACGAGGGCTGTTTTAGACGAAGACCGTTTAAGCTGGGTGATGGCTCGAGGCGGAGATTACCGCTGCACTGCTGGGAGATCTGCCCCTGTAGAATTCGAAGACCGCATTAAACGAACAGGAGGGCCCTCGAGCGTCGTGTAGGCTCGTCCCGCTCCCTTCCACGTCAGCGATGGCGAGCAAGGGCCAAGGTTGGCTGAACACGGCTCGGGTGGAGCATCCCTGCCTGTCGGCTGCTGGGTGTGCCGGTTGACTTGCATGCATGAGACAGAGATCGCAAAGGCAAAAATATGCTGGCGTGCCCAGCAGCACGTTGTGACCCGTGACGTGACACATAGCGCTCGCCGCAGCTCCTTTCCCCCAGCCTCGACGACGGCGTACCCACGGGACCGCACACGGGTCTGCGCCCGCACGCCGTCCGTCCTCCACGCCGTCCGCCTCGCCTTCTCGCAGTTCGCCGCGGGCGATGTCGACACGCCCTGGGTGCTTTCCGGTCGGAAATGGAGCCCAGTCGTGGCTGCTGCCGGCAGACACCGTCCTCCTCGTCGGCGCCGACGCCAGCCAGGCCCCCACTGCACGATCTGTCCGATGCTGCTTCCTACGCGGCCGATGCCAGTGACGTTCATGATCGACTTCTCTGAGATGGGCGTCCCCAGCATCGTGTGGCCAAGCTTTCCGTGTCTCGAGGCCGCCACCGCGTTCACATGCCTGCGGGCCGTTTCATTCGCGGGGCAGGTCGCAGTCCCGGACTTTGCCTCGCTGATACCCTGGGTCAGACGAGGAGGGCCCGCGACATGTGGTTAATCCAAGAAGTCTGTCACTCCCGACGAAGTCTTCGCCAGCCCTGCAGGATCGTCGAGCCGCGATCTGTGCATGGTGTGTGGGTTGCGCACACTAGCGCAATGAAGCATAAGCTCTCGACGGCCCAACACGCCGTTACGCGAAGCTGACAACTCACCAGACACACCGCGACCATGCAGCAAACAATCAAATAAAACGTTCCAGCGGTCACCAGAAAAGTATGTCATCCGTGACGCTTCGCAGTTGCGCAAGGGGCTCGTCTGCCGCCAAATGAAACCCGCTAAGAAACGACGTAAACTAGCGGTGAGGTGCGATCGTATGCGTGTACTAAACGTGGACTCCAGATGTCCTCGATCTGCTAGAGCTTACTCAGATTAGCGCAAGCATTTGACCTGTGTGAAGAGCGTGGAAAACTGTGCGTATATGTAAAGTCGTTGCTCAGCGATGTTTGTTTGCCGCTGTTTAGTAGGATCCCAGGTTTGACTCTGCACTTCCAAATCCAGGCATTCGTTTCTCCAAACAATCGCTTCGGCTGCGACCAAACACTTCGAGTTCGTCCATATAAAACACAAGAACATGCATGACAAAAACGGGGCTAATCCTTTCAGGCAAAAGACGGACATTAAATATGTGGGCCCTGGGAGATCAGACGGGCTTCAGCCGTTGTGATAGGTACAACTCGCAAAGCTCCATATGGGAACATGTTCTCAAGGCCCTGAATTCGTCGGCACGAGTGGAAATATCGAAGCAAGGAGCCGCACGGCGTCAGTACGCCGGAACTTCGCGCGCGACGGCAGTCTGCGCGCGCACGTCGTGCTCGGTCCCCAAACCCTGACGCCACGCGTCAGGGCCCTGTGTGCGAGAAGCTGAGCTGCGTCGCAAATCGCCCGCCCCGCCCGGGCGGGAGCGAGCGAGCGGGCGGCGGGGACTCACCGTCATGTTCTTCGTGCGCCGCATGCGCACACGCCGCATCAGCCACGCGTCGGCAGTCTCCCCCGTGCTGTACTTGCCGGGCTCGGCCGCGGCGGCGACGGCGTCCGCGATCATCGCGCTGTCGCGCGCGAGCGCCGCGAGGGGCACGCCGTTGTGCGGCCGGTGGAAGTAGACGAGCGACCACCGCTCGTGCGCGGCCTGCGCGCCCGGCGGGGCTCTGCGGGGGCGTCAGCAACTGCGCGGGCGCAGCGGGGGTGGGGGCACACGCACACGACGCGGTGCAGGTTGGACCGCAGGATGCCGCCGCTGAAGAGCGCGAGCGCGTCGCCGACGTTGCAGATCGCGTGGCCGGGCAGGGGCTGGCCGCTGTTCGTCAGCACGCGGGCGCAGCAGACTCGGGCGCGGCGCTTGCCTCGATGTAGCACCACTCGGACGTCCCCGGCGGCATGACCTGCAGCCCTCCGAGCCGGTTGTGCAGGAACGACTGTCAGCGGCAGAGCCCGTCAGCAGAACAAAGTTCCCCACGGACATGCAGCCTGCTGACCAATGAGCCATAGTCCGTGTGCTGCCCCAACGCGGGCTTATCCGCAGGCACGCCGCGCGCAGGCGGATTCTTGGTACACCGGGACTGACAGAAGCTGGGTTTGTCGATGCAGTGCAGCTCGTTGAGTTTGCCATGGGGAAGACCGAGACGGTCGTTCAGAGCGCCAATGAGTGTATT